TCCTGGCACACTGTACAGTATTCATTGCTGGTAATTTCAGCGGAGCCACTGTTAATACTCGTCATCGTAAAATTAATTTAAGTGCACATTCTCTCCTTTGTGCAAATTGTAACTATTTATTGGACAACGCGTACCTACTTAGGATATAAATCTAAATTAAACCTCCATTCGTGTAATAAACTGAGTCATTAACATCCAAGTTAGGAATTACTCGTAGTTATGCCTCCCCATTCTGGCCACAACCTTATTAGTTTACGAATTAACAAGTTCATTTTACAACAGTCAACCTTAGCTGTATATTAATTAACGTTCTTTTTGTACACGAAAACAATAGAGTCAATAATTCATATCCCACATCTGATTTCGTCAATAAACTATGACATGGGTCCGTGCTAAAGTAACGAAGTTAGTCAAAACGATGTGCCTTTCAACGATTACTATGCAGATTGTATTTAGTATTGTGGGGGCGTCTAATTTATAATACGAGGTATGCGAACAAAAATAGTTAATCCATAATATGAACGGAATGACAGCGAGCTTTGCGTTGTTTGACAGACAATAGCACAGGACAGTCGGAAACAAAAATCGTATCTATTTTAGGAATGTCACACATTTTGTGATTGAACTAAAATGTTACTAAAGTTCTGGAAGTTTAGGTTACTTAGACAATTTGAAAAAAATTGTAAAAATAAAAACTACAATGATATCACACCAACTTCATAAAATAAGAAAAAAATAATTTATTAATATATTTCGGCACAAAAACGAAATTCGTGATACGAGCAAAAGATTGAAACAACATGAACCTTCATTCTACCCTTAAAATGAAAATATTCTTTGAGTTCAATTCATCGTAAGGTAATCTTTTTTGATCTCTGACCGACCGCGGATGCTTTATTAAAATGTAATTTTTAAAAAGTATTTTTAAGAAATCATTCAGTCATAAAATGACGCGCATGTTAGGTAATTCGTGGCTCTCTCATCGCAGTGATTACTTGGGCTTTCTTGTCATGTCGGCTTATACCTCGCTAAAAGAGATGACACACTTTCCGTGACGCAACAGGGGCTGCCTTATTTTTTCGTGCCTGGCACTCCGCAGCGATGTCAGAAATCATAGGACTAAAAACTTTTGTCAGACATTACCGTCTAAATAGGCGGACGAAGCAAATAAATGAGGCAAGAGACAGCTTTGTAATTGACATATTTTTTTAAATGTAATTTATACCTAAAGACCTAAAATATATGATACCTTTGATTAGTATTATTCTTATTCTGAAACAATATTGTTTAATATTGTTTCAGAATAAGAATAAAATTAATTTGATGCCTTTCTTTGAGTTCGTCATAATAAAATCTACTCGTATTTAATTAATTGAAATTACATGCTCAAAATAAAAATTTCTTTTACACAGACATACCATATTTACATCTGGAAGTAAGTAAATCGCATCGTCCATTTTAATATTTCGAAGTAGTTTTTTCATTAATTTACCGGTGTTAATATAACGATAACAACTGTCGATATAGGACGTGGTCAGGATAAAGGCTTTGCTTGCTTAGCTTTGGATCGACATAAAAACGAGTACTCTGCGTTATTTAATATTGACATTCTAAATCAAACATTTATGTAATACACTTGATGTAGATTCCAATACACTAAAGACAGAGGTCATTTTCTGAGGTATTATTGCTTAGCAGCATATTCATTTTTATTTTCGATGTATGAAACTTTATCTATACATCCAAAATAAATATGTTGTGAAGTAACTTGAATGCAAAACATGCAAAATTGCTTGATTTAAGCAAATAAGCTCTACATTTATGTATTTTTAGCTTCTTATAAAATCGGCAAATCGGAAAAGACCTTAATCCATACTTTTAATACAAAAGTTCTTTAATACCAAATGTAATATGACCTTGACTCCCCATCTATTTCACACGCCTCTTGGTTTAATTATTATACTTATAATTGCATTTCTGCTGATGTTCAACATCTGCGGAATGTTTGTGGATTATTTTTTTATGCACATGATAAGTTTAAGTGACTCAACGAGTCAGATGAAAAGCAAAGTTTGTTATTCTAAAATGCTACCAAAAAATATAATTTTTTTTTTTGCAGTTTATTTAGCAAAAAATAATACTCAACATTCAATATTCCGTTCAAATTCTAATTCCATTTAAATTTAGAAAAATTCCAAACCCTTTTCAATTTAGAAATAACCTTAATTGTAGAATCTATCTATTAATTACAAAATTCTATCCAGCAAAATCTGGGCTTAGTAGGCCAGTAAGAAGAATTTTATCTCGCTGATAACATGAAAATCCTTATCAACCTTGACTGAGTACACTGTGACGAAACTATTATCTCATCACGATCATGAATAGTGACGCATCTTTCCGGATGATAGTATACTGTAGTATATTCTGTCTGATACATAATACAAGACTACGATTAGGTATAATAATACGAGTAGGTATATGTATTAGGCAGCTAGGGCGTAGTTATCATCTGAATTTTTTGGATTCCAAAGCATCGTTTTTACTAAGGGATAAAATGTTGTGCAACAGTTGCCGCTAGAGATGTAGTGACTTCACCGGACACGTCTGACAAAATGAAAAAGGTGACGTAACATAATGTCGGACGCCTACACGTTGAGCGACACATTATTTGTTCCTCTCTAAATACGAGGCATATTTATTCTAAACTTTAAACTACGAATAAATAACTATCCTATCCTAAAACCCATCAAAATAAAACATGAAAGCGACAAGTCCAACTATCAGTTTGCCATCGAAAGCACAATGGGAATAAAAATATCAAATTACACGTCAACTCGAAAAAACGAAAACACAAAGCCGAAGACGTATTAGCAATAAACCCGAATGATTTACAACCAGCCCGCCACGACTGATGAGTTAGAAATTAGAATGCAAGACTTCATTTCGGATTGATAGTTGAAACTATTAAAGATTTTATCGGCGCATTGACATGCAGTGATCGGTTGGGACGCCAAAACGCCTTGAGTTATGATCTTTTTGTGTTCGAGCCTCCTGTATACTCCTACATGGTTTTTAAAGATTTGGATGCACCTCTGAACAATTGGAACGATATATTATTTCTCATAACTATGTCCCTGTCTGTGAGATAATGAGAACCTTAGTTAGTACGTGAACAAACGTACATTAAATTTTAAAATTAAAATGTCATGACAACAGACATATCAAAGAATGTCCTATCTTTGTGTTGCTGTGCACCAAGTCTAGTTAATATTATCTGTATTGTAATACCTATGCCTCTACCTCTATGCAATTATTTTCCAAGAATACGTTACACATGAAATAATATTCTATGTGAGATTCCGATACCAAACCGCATGATTTGATAGTTGCACGATCGTTAGGAACTAGTGTAGTTCCGATATTCGAATAGTATCTGAATAATATACAAATAACATTTCTAGTCATGCTTCCATTGCAAATAACAACTGCAAATCTTTGAGTGGCATTGGTGTAGGTATTTATGTTTAACGTCAATTCCGCCTAACATGATGATGATGAAGGGAGATCCCTTCTGTATTGAATGGCAAATAGCAGCTGCAGTTCGATAAATTTCGCGCGTTCCTATAATTTATTTTTAATTAGGGTAAACCTTTTTTAACAAATGTATAAGGTTTGTGCCACTATCAATATCGCTCCGAAGCCGTCCAATGGTCTGAGCAATTATCAAACTGAACCAAAGGTTTCCAAATGAAACAAAACACCGACAGCAACTCGGGAGCAACAGTTCTGAGTCCGCGGTCAAGTGTCTGGACTGCAACAAAAAGATTTAGCCCCTAATGGCGGCTGCTGTCATTATGACAGATGTCCAAACTACAAGGATGTCACATGTGAGCAAGGATTAATGGTAAAAAAAATATTTTTTTCACAAATATGGCGGCCCAGGCAAGGAACAGATTATATTTCCCAAAACCAATTAAATTATTTGAAGAACATGTGAATTTAAGTTGAATATCTGCTCTCGTGCCGTGTGGTGACGGCAGAGTAGAATACATTTGTCACCAACCCCTACTCTTCCCGCGGGTGTCGTAAGAGGCGACTTAGGGACTACACAACAAACAGAGAATGGGCAGCAGCGCTCTCTGAAAAACATCAATCTTTTAAACTGCGATCTCCAACCCGCCTGCCAAGCGTGGAGATTATGGCAAATCCCTGCACCATAGTGGAGGAGGCTCATAATCCAGCAGTGGACTGTAAAGGGCTGTTGATGATGATGATGATCTGCTCTCGTATTTGCTGTTGTTTATACAAACAAATTGTACAAAAAGCAATGTTGAAACCAAACCAAGTGTCGCTCGATATAACTGGCCTGCCAGACATGCTTTTGATGGGTCGAAAAAATACCATTTAATCACACTTTTTGTAGCTGTTATTAAGTTGTGGCTTTGTGATTGGTATATCGACATCCCTGACCATTAAGGCTGAGATCCGAACGTGTTTAATCGAGACGAATATGACGTTGATAAATCACCTCAATGGCTCTTCGTCATTGACTTGCACTTGCATTCTACACACAACTTTCTTTGTAGTTAGTTGTAGTTTAATTGGACAATTATTTAACGGAACTGGTCTAAAATACGGAAAGTATTGCAAAGATTTTGTGAAATAAGTTAATTTAAAGAAATCCTAAATCTTTTAATTGAGTACCTAATGTGATTAAAATTGTTTCATTACATTTATTTTTCAATAATATTAGATTTATATTTTTTCCTAAAACCATGGAAGAGGCAAGACATTAAAAACGTGCAAACACATCTATATTTCGATAAATATTCATGGGGAACTTCATAAGTAGATCTCAAAGCTAGCTTTTCATTAGAAGCACACACACTAGATACAGGCGTGGATCGCACATATACCGGGGCAATTGCGTTACTACATTGAGCAGTGCGGAGTGCCGGTACTCATGGTCCAAAGACTGTGAATTCCTGATTTTTGTGCAGCTTCCAACAGTGGACGAGTGCAAAAAAAGATCGATGCAACTCGGCAAGGTTTAACTCACCATTATAACCATGAGGAAGGTGCGTGCGTGTCTTCTCTTGCTACTGGGACTGTCAACAGTTCGGGCGCAGTTTGTGAGGCGTAAGTAAACAACTAGAATAATTAACTAAGTATATTGTTAACATGAGAGAAATTCTAATTTATGGAAAATTGTCATACCTTTGTATCAAATCTTACGGAATCGTTTTAAAAGATAAATTGTATTAAGGGTTCGTTAAACTCTGGAACGTTAAAATTTTCGATCTTTTGAATGACTTTTAAAAGTGTCTGCTGCATTTTATGTCGCAGATTACTATTTACAAGAAATGTACAATTTAAGAGCTACTGATGTGTTTATTTTGTGTAAACTACGAGCCGGACAGGCAATTAAAATACTAAAGTAACAAAGCGCGAGAGTCGTTTGTTGTGGTCGCCATACCCACCATGTTTGCAGTCCGCCTTTCGCACGCAGCAAAATTGGAATGTCTATCAGATTGTAGGGGATGGGTGAAGCCAAACTTCATTATTGGTGTTGTGCTCGTACGTAGAGACGTCCTCAATACTCAATCTTTTATTGGTTCCATCTGAGCATTGCATTTCTATAGTCACATTTGACAAACGACAAGATGGTTACAGACTGTGAAGAGAATGGTAACATTGTAAAGGCAATCATAAGCTTATGCAGTGTCTTATCATAAAATGAATGTTCTAAGACTAATCAAAGTTAAAAGCTTAGCTAAGGCCAAAGATGGTTACTTACTTTTAGTTTTATTAAAACAAAAGGTAAATAAATAACCATTAGGTTAATTGTAGAGACAAAGTGCCTATTAAATATGATTTTGTTAAACCTACATAAGCACACAAGAATGTGTGTACTAGTTCCGTTTGTATAAATTCAACCCGCAAGAACTTATTTGAATCCCATCCCTTAAAAAGTACTCAGTCGTGCTGGGACATCGAAATGCGAGCGTAGGTAGGCTTTTAGTTGGACCTAGCAGTGTTAGCGCTGTAATTTCTATTTTATTTTATTTTTATTTATTTATTTTATAGAAACCAACAGCGATACATTGAAAATGTTAGTTACAAGATTTAAAACCTTTAACAAACAACAGATACATAACATCGGAGAATATAAAACGCCTCTGTTTTGGAGTTTTCTTTATTCCCTTCCCGAGGTTTTCACGATGTTCCGAATGGGTGTACCTATATCAAATGGCTTAGTTAGAAGGCATACAGTGCATTGTTTTAGTTATTGACGGAATCCAAATTGACGGCTGCTGACAATGCAGCCTAAGGATTATATTTCAAATTATTTGGATGTTTTCTTTTCTTCGGCGTTTAAACATACATATTTATTTTTAATGTGTAATCTTTCGTCATGCTCATACTGCTAACACATTTAACGTGTGGCATTTGTTAATAAAATTCTGCCTGGCGCGTTTATTATCATCGCCAAGTAATTATGCAATCGCCTTGACCCATCTAATGGTTTTATCGTTATAATTATTAGTCAGTTGCTATGCTCATCAACCATCTTAACTTTTAAATCAGCTGAAAAGTAACATGTGTCTTTTTTACAAGAATTCCGATGAGACAAAAATATAATTTTGTGTTATTGTTCTCACTGTGGTTAAGACATTGCTTGGAATTACCTAATTATTTGAATATGATGCTGTCCATTTGAGGTCCCGTTAAGCCGTTGGGTTAAGTGACTCGTAAAATCTAACACCAGGGTTATAACCTCAGTTGTTGCAAAGAAAAAGAATCTATCCAGTTACTTGTCCTGAATAGAACAGCTCAGAGACAGAGCCATGTTCATTCAAAGTTGAATCAAAACGACTTAAACGACACCACACGTCCTAACGTTTATTTTTGCGACTAACCTGTATAATTGATCTGGCTTTTTGTTTACGGCTCCTTTTTGTGGTTGACGGGCTTTGCCGTATCTATTAAGGCTGTCACAGTCCGAAGAAACTTTTCCAGTTCCTTCATCCGCCTACTTCGTAACAACGTATAGGACTCCTCCTCAGTCCTCACTGCACTAATAGGAAGATACGGAAAAAAGCAAATTTCGTGGTTTATAAATAACTTACGAACTCATCACCTATTAAGGCATACTTTCATAAACCAGCGTCTTCATTAGGGTTTCTATCAACACGTACTTAATACCTTTTCATTCAAATAATTTAGCTTAGCTTTGCGCACTTAAAACGCAACTTTTTCAGAATAATATAACTATTTTATAAATTGGTAACAATTTGGTTATGTGTTTTGTGTCAACCATGGATCAAAGTGCCAAATATCAATAGGATCAGTGTTTTTCAGCACAACCTAACAATAAAATAAACGGATCTACAATTTCTAAATTGAATCTACATTGTCAAATTCAGCGTTTCGTCAACTTAAAATGATATAGGTTTTCGTTCGTTGGTTAATAGAGCATTTTATGGCGCTAACGTTTTACTTACAAACTTGGTTAAATATTGTATTATTTTTATGCGATTTTTTTATTTATTATTGCACTGAGAACTCTTTAGCATGCCAACAACAAAAGCGTAGACATTTCTCAATCCTGCTAACGTTTTTATTTCGGTTCTAAAAACGTTTTAATTTGCATGCGGAGCAGTGTTAGAGTCGTCCCGTTTCGGCCGCCCGCTCTAAGGGCGTGGTTAATCATAGCGCACACTCGATTTCACTCAGTTAGAATACGGGTTATGGACAGTTAGACAGGGAGAACAATAAAACGGTTCTTAAGTACTTTGGATAAAAGACAGAGCAATGAAAAATATTTTCAAATGTCGTAAAGAAGATATTAACTTCTATTTTTACACTTTTTATGTTTTTATTTTGACTTTTGTCTTTAATGTCGATGAAAGTCCATATTGAACGTGCTATAGCTGAAATGATTATGATTTAATTAAAACACTCAAAATATAAAACAACTAAGTAGATAATTTTAAGGGAAGAGTGAAATATGATTATTCTTGTTTAAACCAAATATGATAATTTAATCAATCGAATCAAAGTGCTGAAAATGATATCAGATTTTTTTTTAAATAATTCTCGTTCAATTTTCATCCATGTCCACTCTATCGGTTACCAAGTGCGCGCGTCTAGGGGTGAGACAATCAACGACTCGCGGTCCACACTCCAATCCGGGGCAAAACATAACAATAATTGTTTTGTTATTGCCGACCACGCTGAATATTTGTATGTTAACCCGAGAACGGGTGTGCTCAAACTTTTTGTTACAGAAAATTTAAGCTTGACTACAAAATTCATATTTAAAGCTTCTGTGTAGGTTTTTGCAACTTGCCTACTCCGAAATGCCAATGGGAAAATAAAAAGTTCCAAAAATTAAGAGAAAACTAAACGCTTACTTTAGTTAAAGTTTTAGACAGTCTAATGAGTTTTTAATTCTATTCTACTGAACTGTTTTACATTGTCATTATAATTTATATAATCACCAGAGCTTTGTTATTAAATACTAGCTTACCGCCCGCGTGGAATTTTGTCTGTTACAGAAAAACTATATCGCGCGCGTCCCTGTTTCAAAAACCGGGATAAAAACTATCCTATGTCCTTTCCCGGGACTCAAACTATCTCTATTCCAAATTTAATTAAAATCGGTTCAGTGATTTAGGCGTCAAAGAGAGACAGATAGACAGACAACAGACAGAGTTACTTTCGCATTTATAATATTAGTATAGATTACTTTATTATTAGGCTACTTACCATGCCTTTGATAGTTTGAAATTCAATATGTATTTAGATAGTGTTCAAAAAGCCTAAAATGTTTTAGTTTTTAATTACCATAATAATATAAAATGAACCTACATCGTTTAGTAATAATGATGCGCGTTCATTAAATTTCAATTGGTAAATATCTATTTCACAGTTAGTTTTTGGTACCACATTATATAGCTATTATGTTTTCTAGTCATTGGTAAGATTATCTTTTTTTTCCTTTAGTAAAAAGAAAATCCTCAATTAACCATTTCGCTTCCACCAATGACAAAACTTAAGGAAACCCCTATTTGAAACTTAAGTCACTGAAATTAACATCCAAATTTATATTATACGGCAGCAAAGTGTTTCGCGCTAGCCGCCTTAAAAGAAGGCGCGTTCTCGGTCACGAGGTAATTGATCTAATGAGATGAGACTATTAATATTCATGCATCCCTTTGTGACCTCAGTGTTTGGTCTAAGGCCGGCCGCACAGGCTGCACGTCACAAGGAGTCGGGTGCAGAGACCCAAGCTTACGACCTTTGTAAAGCGTCAGCTAAATGCGAGCTTTGAGACACTAAAAGCCTATGAAGTACCTTTCTGTGATTAAAACGATTGCTCCAAAATTGTAATACACAACTTGGATTTTTTTTAAAGTGTATCACGCAACGAAAATCTAAAATTATTATATTAAACCATGGAATTTTGAATTAAGTACGTAAAGGAGTTAAAAAATAACAACAAACTACGTCTTTAAAATATTTGTGTGTTGATGACCCGATACGAATCCTGAAGAAAGCTTAGCTCCTGTTTCAAATAAAAGTAGAGTGAATAAAATTAAGGTCGTCAATATTCTAGTTCAGCTGACCTAAAAAATATAATACAAGTAAAAACTGATACCATTTTATTTTCTGATCTAAAATAGCAATTTTAGCGAATCTAATCTATTATACAATAAATTGTAGGTCTTATTTTTGGGAGGAGAACTCGAAAGGGCTATTAATGATTTCCACGGTCCATTCGTGAATATTAGGCACGGAGGATGGCTTTCCTGTAACATTTTAGTTGCAGCCAATTTTTAGTTTAATAAACGGTACCTACTTTAATGTAAGATGTAGTGTATTAATGACAGTTCCATTTTTGTTTTGTGCACGTTTGCTGCTGGCCTTAGCCAGATGGATTTTTCAATAAGTCGGTTAGAGGGGAGAGGTGTCACTAGACACGGTAAGCACTGTTCTTTGATATATTAGACGTGTTTTAGTTGAAGTTTTCACGTCAACATAGGTATAGTTGTAACGATCGTCAGAGGTAGAATCAATTGAACTGATTACAAACTTATAATAGAACCTAATTAGTTTTCACTGAAACAGAAACA